AACTGCTGAAATCCCACATGGGATAGATATTATTATCTCCAATATAAAAGCACATAATGTTTAAATAAGTTGCACAAGGTCATGTAATGACTTTGTGAAAAAGCTAGAAATAGAATGATTCCTAACCTCAATCCTACGCATTCTCTGCTAAAACACATTTTTCATAAATAACTTATATGGCATTTGCAATTCTGTAGGAAATCAGTATTCACAGTTATATTACTCTCATCTTTTTTTTTTTTCCAGTTTCTATTTTCTAGCTTCCAAATAAAGAAGGAAAGAAATTTTCCTAAGATTCAGACTGGTTAATTTTTTCTTCAGATACCAATTACCAAAGGAATAAATGCCAATGTAACTAACATCTAACCCCAACCCTTCCATTGAATTTTTTTTTTTGAGAAAAGTCTATCAAACTCAATTGAAACTCTATTGTAACCACCTGACAAACTGGATCTCTTATCTGAAACCTCAATGATTTCTAGTCATTTTGAAGTTGCAAAATCCTCTCATTTTTCGGTTGGATTTTTGTGATCCCTTCTTCCTCATTCCCCAAAGCATCATGTTGTGTATCTTTGTTTCTCAGAGTGGATCTTAAATTAACATTGTTTTGAGAACTTCTCTAAAAATTTTGTGATATCCTTCCTCAGCATGACTGGAAATATTTAGTGTTGCAAGGATAGAGTTTAGCATTACTGAATGGTTCCTATGTGTAGACAAGGATATAGGGGGATGGGATGGAGGTGGGGGAATAACTTGGTACAGTGGAAAAAGCAGTGGAAATAAGGGAAAGGAGTGTCTGAATAGTTACAGAGATGGTGGGTTGATCCATAGGGAAGTCAATAATCATAATAGTGTTACTAGCACTCCATTCATTATCTAGATTCTTGTTAGTCTGTATTTAGCATTATTCATACCCTTGGAAAAGTCCTAATGAAAAACTCAAATTTGGAGTAAAACTTATTTTTTAAAAATTCCAAGCAAACCAATGACAAAGTTAGTCTTTATAGCATTTTAATCAAGTGGGCTCTCCATGCTTCTCAAAGTTAGCCAACACCTCCAGAAAGAATGTTATACTAATGGGTTTCAGGAAGCTACCGTCCACACATAAAGACGTAGGTGGAGGAATTATTTTTTCATTGTCTTTCACCGATATCAAATGGGATGGTTGAGCTGTCAATCAGTTCTATAACTAGTGTTTTAATTGATTATTATATTGTGCTGACTGGATTGATGCTGACTCAGTAACCAGACCCTAGAACAGAGGGGATCTTCCTCATCCTTTTCCTTTCTCTGATCTAATACAAATAACAATCTAAGAGAGTGTAAACTGGGTACTGGTGCTACAGAAATACTGACAAGAATAGTTACTACCAAATCCTTAGGTAGTACTTTTCTTGCTACCATAATTAACAAAGAAAGGGGGACTTTAAGCTGGGGCCAAGAATCCCCAAATGGGACAATGACATTTCAAATGTCCCAATGTGGTTATAATTCTAGATTCCACATCTTCTGAAAGTGGTTATAAGAGAAGAGGTATGTTTATAACAGCTATTTTTGTAAAGAGAAAGAACTAGAAACTAAGTCAGTTTCCATCAATTGGGGAATGGCTGAACAAATTATGGTACATGAATGTAACAGAATACTATTGTACTGCAAGAAATGACACAAGGAGCAATTTTAGGGAAGTTTTAACAACAGTGCATTAAGATGTCTATCTTCCCACAGAACCCCTCCCCCCAACACAATTAATGATTTTGTTGTATTTTGTCATTTTTGCCATCTCAAGGGTATGGGCTGAGTTCTTTTAATTTGTATTTTTCCTGTCAGTGATTTAAAACATTTTTTATGGTAGCTTGCATTTCCTCTTTTGAAAACTGCTATTTCATATTCCTTATAACCACCTAACCACTGGGGAACAGCTCTTGTGTTTCTATGTGTATGAAATGATACAGAATGAAATGAACAGAACCAGGAGAACAAATTACGCAATAACCACAACATTGTAAAAGACAAACAACTTTGAAAAACTCAACTCTCATCAATGCAGGACCAACCATGATTTCAGGAAATGAATGATGAGCTGTGCTACCCACCTCCCAACAGAGAGGTGAGAGATACAAACTGCAGAATGAGACATACATTTTTGGACATGGCTAATGTGGTAATTTGATTTGCTTGACTGTGTGTATTTTTACAATGGTAAAAATAAAATAAAAGTTACACACATACACACAAGAGAAGAGACATCTTTAGCTGACTCGATGGGAAGAGGAAAAGCAAAATAAACAAAGCCTTGGTAATGTTCATATGGTATTTATAAAGAAAATCAATGAACCAAAAGCACTACAACTAACAATTGTACATTATACCAGCTGGCCATATTCTCTGGGGAAAACATACTCCATGGCTTTTAATCCATTCTCAAAGAATGTCCAATTCTCCCTTTTTCTTTACCTTCATCTCTTTTCAAGTTAAAAAAAAACAACTGATATATTTATTGATATTCTTTTCTTTTTTTAACATCACCATCCCTTCCCAATGACGTGCCTTCTCTTCCCCCTCTACCCCAGTAGCCTCCCTTGTGATAAATAAGCACAGTCTAGTAAAACAAACCAACAGATTGACCCTGCGTGAAAATGCTTTACTCTGAATCTATCTTCTGTCACCTCCTTGTTGACAGGAAGGAGACCTGTTTCAAGTCCTCTGGTTAACAGCACTGATCAGAGTTCTATAGTCTTTCAATGGTGGTTTCCTTTATCTTATGGTCATGATGTAAGTTGTCCTGACTCAGTTCTTTTCCTCTGCAATAGCTCAAGTAAGTCTTCCCAAGTCTCTCTAAATCCTTCCTATTGGCCATTTCTTGTGGCATAATAAAGTCCATTGCAGTCATTTACCACATTTTGTTCAGCCATTCTGTCTCCCTTTTAGGCCTTCACTTTGAAAAAAAAGTCTGCTATAAATCTTTCTCTCATAGATTTCCCTGTGCCTCTGACCTTCTTGAGTATGTCTAGTAATGACATTGCTAGTTCAAAAGTTTTGTGCAATTCTAAATTATTTTCTCGAATAGTAAGGCCAAATGATAGTTTTACCAACAGTGCATTAAGCTGCGTTTCTTCCCACAGAGGCCCCACCCCCAACAATCAATGATTTTGTTGCATTTTGTCATCTTGGCCTTCTCAAGGGTATGGGGTGAGTTGTTTTAATTTGTATTTTTCTTATTAGTGACTTAAAACCTTGCTTTCTTGCTTCCTCTTTTGAAAACTGCTATTTCATATCCCTTATAACCACCTAACCACTGAGGAAGGGCTCTTGTGTTTACATATTTGCATCAATTCCCTGTAATCTCGGGTATCAAACCTTCACGATAAAACTCAGGAGTCAAATCGCACACCAAACTGTGCCACAGTTATTTATGCATCCTACAGATGTTGCACCTCTACCGTATTTCTTTTTCGATGCCCCATGTTAGTGCCAAGGTAATGAAAGTGGGTTCTCCAAGGCTTTATAAACCTTTGGAGCACAAACTCTGTCACAATCCGGCGCAAATCAAGAGGTGACAGATGGAAGAGCCAGCCTGGCTAAATTTTCAAAGATTCATTGCCATTGGGTTGGTCTTCGGGTGATGAATATATTTTGGCCACAGGAAATTCATTAAATCCTGCCAAGGCTATCAGATCTCTTGCAATCTGCTTGGTTAGGCTACAATTTAAAGTGGAATGAAACCATGGATACTTGAAATTCAACTCACACTTAACACAACCCCCTGAGTAAATATAGTAAGCTCAAAAGTTTGAAGAGCCTGAGACACGATGTATTTTTATCCAGTGAAAGAGTTCCAAAGAGTACTTTTAAGGATTTTAGTAGCAGCCTGGAGACAGAGCAGAGTTCTACAGAGGAATCCTATTTGAAAAGGGCAGGGAAGAGAGCAAAATTTGAGATGAATAGGCGAAAGCGAATCTGTTGCTTTACGAAACATCAGACTTCTCAGAGCCCTGGGCTACACAGGTGCTGTTTTATTTGCGCCTTAATGAGAACTGTTCTGCAGGTATTCGTCTTTGAAATTCTGAAAGCCGCCAGCTCCCCCAGCTTGTCTCCCATTTTCTTACAAATAAGTCCTTTCCCCAGCCCAGGCTCCCAGATGCCCACTAGGTCTCCCGTTTCCCTTAAGGAGGTGGCTGCCCCGCACAAGTGTTGCGAAGAGCAAATAACAGCCTTGGTCCCGTTCTCCTCAGATTGTAAGCTCCTTGGAGGCAGGGGCTGTCTTGCTTTTTCTGTTATCTTTAGCGCTTAGCACAGTGCCTGGCACATAGTAGGCGCTTAATAAATGTTTACTGAATTGAATCGTCCGCTTCTCACTATGACCTCAAGGTATGTTTCAGGCGCCTGCCCAGGAAGCGACCCTGGGATTGGTGTGGAATGAATCCATTCGAGAACATTTTTGTAGTCAAGGAGACACCAGCAGACTAGTGCCCTGGCACCACGCCCGCCCACCCCAGAGAACTTTCCAATTTTAGTTCCCCAAACAGCTTTCGACTGAGCGGTCCTCCACCCCGAGCCTTCAGTTTTATCTCTACCCTCCCCCTCCTCCAAATGAAGGGGAGCCGTGCAAAGAACCCGCAGCGACGTGGCTCTCCAGTCAGCCCGGACATGCTCAGTCGTCCGGTTTCACTTTGGGTTGCAAAACTAAGGAATGATTTTTTTTTTCTCCCGCGAGCCCTTAGAACGTGGCAAGCCGCGAGCTGAGCCCCTAGAACAGGGCGACACAGGGAGTTCTAGAACGCTGTGACGTCACGGCGTACGTCCAGGCCAGGGCAGCGCCTGGGTGGTTCGAGGGTGCCAGGGCCACAGAGAAGCCACGTTGACGAGTGGAGGGGGGGGCGCGCGGGGGCGGGGGAGGGAGCAGAGTCCGTCGCCCCGCCCCGCCCATCCCGGTAGTTGGGGCGGGGAGGGAGGGGGCGTGCCTCCCTGCCCAGCTTGCGGCTGCTCCAGCTGTTGCAACGCGACGACGCGCTCGGGCTCCTCGAGCGACGGGCGCGCGCAGCCGGTCGCCAGCTCCCCGGGCCCCCGAACCGAGACAAAAAAGGAGAGAGCGAGTCAGTGTCCACAATGTCTTCGCCTACTGACGAGAAAGTAGAGACTAGAGCTGGACACCCTCCTGCGGGTATTGATCCATCCCTCACCCCGTCCCTCCACCCCGCCCCCTCCCTCCTCTGCCCCCCGCCAAGCCCCAGGAGTTAGCAGGAGGACCGGGGGTGTTTTCCAGGAGGGCTGCGAATGCAGGCCGGGCCGAGCTTCCCTCGGCCCGAGGCACCGCCCGCCTGGGCCGCCCACGTGCCCCGCGAGGCGGTAATTCACACTCCAGCTTCCCGGGCTCGGCCGCAGGCTGCCCCGGGAGAAAGGGGTGTGCGGGGCAGCCGGCCCGAGGTGGGGTGGGGGGAGGAGGTCCCCTCTCGACGGGGGACGCCCCCTGCCAGCCCCACCTGGGGAGGGGCCGCGAAGGGGGGCCCGGAGGCCGGGACGGCTCGGACTGGCCTAGAGACCCCGGCACTGCTGGAGGCTTGGAGGAGGGGCGCCCTCCCCTGCAGGAGCTTGGCACTTGTCTGGAGCGATGTGATTGACAGGTCACTGATGAAGACCAGGGCGCCCGTGGCGGCCTTGGCATGCACACCCAACACACCACCTAGGAAATACAAAGCTATTGTGATGGTGTTTGTTTGTTTTAAAAAACAAACAAATCAGCCTCGTCCTTCTCTTTAGCGGTGGAGGAAAGCTTCCTGGGACCGTCCATTTGTAGATGTGAGGTTAAGGGCAGCCATGCCTTGACTGGGTCTTAACCTGGGGTCCGCAGACCTGTTTTAAAAACTATTTTCATCATTCTATTTCAAAATAATTGGCTCCCTTTGTAATCCAGGGTGTTTTATGCATTTAAAAATATTATTTTGAGAAGAGGTCCACAAGCTTCTCCAGACTGCCAAAGAGATCCATGACCCAAAAGAATGTTAAGAATTCCTGCTTTAAGTTCTGGTAGACTTATTGGAGCGGTATGCTAATTAACCCTCCTCCAGGCAGTTATAATCAGAGTCCTTTTCAGTGGTGCATGCTTATCTGGAATGACCATATGTTAGGGTTGTTGGTTTTTGGGGTTTTTTTTAGGGTTGTAAAATTATTTGTACGTTAATTTTGGCCAGTGACCTGATTAAGATAAATCTGAGGCTGACAATGCCTTGCTAAAGCACAAGTAAAATATTTCCAATCATGGCTCTCTGTCAAAATGACATTTTATTCTTAATTTCTCTGACCCTCTAAATTTCCCATTGTTTTCCAACAAGGTCATTGCAAAGCAAAATCTTAAGTTCTGATTTAAGTGATAAAGGCACTTTTTAAAATAATGAAGTGTAAATCTAAATATAGACAATTATAAGTTAGGTGAGAAGTAGAAGACAGACATTTCCACCCTATTCTTCCCCCTTTTTGTGCAGAGGTTTTTGTTTTTCTCCATTTCAGCATTGTCTTGACCGTAATTTTTATCATCCCTTTGAGTTATACATCTTGAGGTTCTAAGTGTGAAGAAAGCATTCCTGATTTAAGGCTTGGTTGTGAAAGAAGCAGACAAGACAGCAGGAACCATTGTCATTTAATGTTTCATCCTTAATGTGTTAATTGGCTGTGTTAGTTGAATGTAAAAGAAACTTGGAACAACTTAGAATATTAAAGGAACAGGGCCTGCCTATGTTTTCTGGTATGTATTGTTCCTTTCTTTCTCCCTGAAGAGATTTCAGGTAATAATCTCTGTGGAATTATGTTTTCCACCTTTAATTGGTTGACTGAAGAAATGCTCTTTGAAATGTCTTGTGTATTAAGAATTCCTTAAATATACCTCATTCCTGAGTGGTTTTTTTTTTTTGAAAGTTGAAACTGAGGCATCTGTATAAGAAAAAAAACTTGACTATTGCTGGTAAGAAAATGTCTACCTTCTATTTTAAAGTATCGTTTTAAGTGTCATGAGAAAATATTTAAATTTCAACAAAAAGTAGGCTTTGGGAACCTCTAGGATAAACTAATTTTTAAGATGTTCCTCACAATATGCTTCTTTTGTGGACCTCCTTATTGAACCTTTAAGTGCAGAAAATAGCTAAGATCTAATGGGTAAGGTTTCTTGACTTTTATAAAGTAGGAATCTCTTATAATGCTGGTGTTAGGTGACAAGATTCCATTTGCAGATTAGCTGTGTTCTATCAGGCTTTTACTTTGTGTAATGGATATATTTCATGGGACATGGTCTGACCCATGACACTGCTGAATCCATATAACAAAGTTATATTAAAAAGGACTTGTGTTATAATGGAATTCCTTGTGGTTTAAGTTAGAAATATTGATCCCTAAGGAAAAACTTCAGAACACTCATTTTTCTTTTTGAATTGTAAAATAAACAGCCTTTGAGAATTGCAAAATGAACAGTGATTCATGCATAAAATGAGAGAATAAATTGTTAAGAAGAAGAGAGGCAGTGTTCTACAGCAATATGTTTATTAAAGTAGGGAATAGGAGACCTGGGTCTAGGCCTAACTCTGTCATTAACTAGGTGTATACTTATGGCAAGTCAGTTCAGTTCTCTGAACTCCACTTTCTTTGTCTATTAAATAAGGAGTATTGAATTAAATCATCTGTATTGGCCCTTCTAGTTCGAAAATTTGTGGGAAAAGAAGGCTATGTATGAACCAGTAAAATGAGAAAACTTTCAATGCTGTAGCCCTTTGGAGAACTAACCTATATCTGGTGGGTTATTCAGTTGTGTACACACACACACACACACACACACACACACACACACACACACACACACACACACACACACATATGTCCTTCCAGTGTGGAACTAACCTATATCTGGTGGGTTATTCAGTTGTGTACACACACACACACACACACACACACACACACATATATGTCCTTCCAGTGTGGTCATAACATCATATAGACATAACTGGCTCCATATAGATTTAACCTCTGACTTTCTAGTTGACATTTTGTAAAATCAAATGAATGCTTTGGTATACTATATGATGCTGAATATGTGAATATTCATATTGCTGGGCTGTTTGGGTTTTTTTTTTCATCCACATATTAACGATGTAAAGCCAAGGATATGAGAAGGAGGTGATTTAGTTTTCATTATCTTCACTTTCACTTCTCATCATTCTTTATTTTGTGTAGAGCTTTACAGTTTTCAGAATACTCTCATGTATTTCATGCCATTTGGTTTTCACCATCTTGTGTGTTAACTGATTCATACACAGCCTTCTTTCTCTCTAATTGTTGGAATTGGAAGAGACAATAAAGATGATTTTATTTAACTTTCCTTATGTAATAGACAAGGTAACCAGAGTTCAGAAAATTGAACTGACTAGCCATAGGTACACATCTACTGTGTGTAAAAAAATATACACACGTGTATAATTTTTCCTGTCATTGCTAAGGCTCAGAAAGGTTGACTTTTCTAGGATCACACATTTAATGAGCATCAGAGACAAGACTGGGATGCAGGTCTTTGAACTGTGGAAATATTTTCATCATTAGGCTGATTGTATGGAATGTGAAAGAGGAAGGCAACTTGATACAGTGGAAGAAGGTCAAGTCAGAGGACCTGGGTTCAAATGGTACTTCTGATGTCTGTTGCCTATGTGAGCTTGGGAAAGTCAGCTGACTTGAGCTGCCTCATCTTTAAAATGAATGGTGGGATTAAATCAGGGGTTCTCAAACTTTTTTGTGTCATAGACCCCTCTGGCATCTACTGAGGCCTATGAACCCTTTCTCAGAATAATGTCTTTAAATGCATAAAATAGATCTAGGATTACAAAGGAAATCAATTATATTCAAATACAATTAACAAAATTTTAAAACTACAGAGTCATGGGCCCCCAGTTAAGAAACTCTGGATTAGATGGCTTCTCGAGATCTGATCATATAAGGCTAGAGCTAGTAGTTTACGAAAGTCACTCAGCAAGCATTTAAAAAATACTTATGTTATATTATATCATATCATATGCTATGTGCTGAGACACAGAGATAGTTTTAAATGGGTGGTCCCTGCTCCCAAGAAACTCACATTCTAATAGTTACTACAAGCTGTCTGCAGAGAAAATGGAAGTAAATTTCTAAAGGAAAGATACCAGTGGCTGGGGTAACTTGGAAAGACTTCCTGTAGAAGGTAGGAAGGAATGATTTGAGCTGAGTCTTGAAGGAAACCAGGAAGCACTAAAGAGGTGGAAGTGAGGTAGGAGAGCTTTCCAGGCCTAGGAGACAGCCAGTGAAATGACATGCATATGAAGGTGGCATGCCATCTGCGAAGAATAGTGAGGACAATGTAGCTAGACCATAGAGTACATGAAGGGGACTAAAGTATAAGAAGATTGGTGAGGTAGAATCTAAGTTGTAAAGAGCTTTAAATGCCAAACGAAGGAGTTTATATTTGATCCTGGAGGTAACAGGGTGTCACTAGAGTTTACTGAGTAGGGGGCTGACCTGGACAGACCTATGCTTTAGAAAATCGCTTTGGCATCTGAATGGAGGTTAGATTAATGTAGGAGATTTGAAGCAGGAAGATCAATTAGACTACTTCAGTAGTCCTTGAAATAGGTGATAAGGGCCTTGATGAGGCTGGTGGCTGTGAGTGGAGAAGAAAGGGACTTATGCAAGAGATAAAGATAGAAAGAACAAGATTAGGCATAGGTTTGGACATGGCGGGGCAGGGGGTATATGAGAATGATAAATTGGGGATGTCAGCAAGAAATATGAGCCTAGGAGGATGGGGATGGATGGTGATACCCTTAACAGAATTAGGGAAATTCAGAAGAAGGGGAGGTTTGGGGGGAAAGCTAATGAGTTGTTTTAGACAAGTTAAGTGTGAGATGTTTATGGGACATCCATTTTATGTTGTCTAGAAGGCAATTGGCAATATGGGACAAAAACCTAGAGGGATGTATGGGGGGGGGTATCTCCACACCAAACAGCATTTGTTTTGCTCTTGAGCCACTGCAGTTTATTGAGTAGAGGCATGACATATATAGTAGAATTTACATATATTCAGAGTTAATCCTGTCTGGTTCCTAAGCCATCTTCTAGGAATACTAAATGTTAAACCACCAGAGTAGAAAGAACATT